TCACCCATGCCCTCTCAAATTCTAAAGGAATGGGTATACAGTATACTTAAGTAACTTAACGATGTCTACTAGCTATGACTGGTTAACGCCAGAGTTAATCAAATGCAATAATGGTCGGCATGGAGTTTTAAATGACAGCAGAATTAGGACCTAGACTAGCAGCTCATTGAAGATAAGAAGATCTGGCTAAGAACCATGATTGTGGCCTCATTATTATATGAAAGTGGTCAATATGGTGATACGGTCCATGTTCACATTTTATGGATCAAATTTTGGCATCTTAAGCACAAGCGAGATCAAGTGGCAGGGAATCTAGTCAGTGAGAGTACTCTCATCCATGTTTTGTAGTGGAGATAGGTTGTTTAATGAACCAGTGGAGAACTCCTAAGAAGAGGCGTCAAAAATTTTCCAAGAGATGCACATGCAGGAGCATGTCTGCCAATGCTTGAGCATGGATTCATGGAAGGTTTGCATAAAATTTTGATATTTGTATCCCTAACGAATAAAAAACTTCTACTTGTAAAAATTGTATTATTCTAGATAATCATAAAACTTCAAAGAAGATCTAAAATTGAACGCTCCAATTTCTATCTTGGACTGTGAAATCATTTTCAAGGATAATGTTTATCCCCATGTGCATATACTTGACGGAAATAAAATTTTCACATATATTTAGTGTTCGTTTGGGACGGCTTTTTTATTACTTTCTAAAACGGATTTTAAGTACAAAAATAAAAAAATTTGTACTAAAACTCCGTTTTAGAAAGCAATAAAAAAACCGTCCCAAACAAACCCTTAATGTATTTATAAAACTTAATAAAATCAGTCGAACAGATGCACAGAAAGTTATTTTCATATAATTAGAAAAACACAATAAAATACTGAAACTGACCTTGATTTCTGCTCCAGTATAAGTAAGGGAATTCCGATGTATGTCAGATGTCATGGCCTCAGTCATAAGCTTAAAAACCTTCTTACTCATGTTGGTTGTCATAACAACTTTCTTTCCAGATGCATATATCCGTCTTATACCAAGATCTGCTGCCATGCGCCTTACATAGAGTTTTTTTAAAAGTATCTGCAGAATATGGATAAGAGCTTAAAATCTCAATAGCATTATGATAAACACTTCACATTTAACACAAGTAGTGCTCATCAAAAAGTAGATTTAACATAACTCGTCATTTTTACCTCCATTGAATGAGGTTCTTTTCCATATTGCCGTCGCAACTGCTCAGTGAATTGCATCAGGCTCCAAATGTCACTTTCAGCTGCTCTCTCAGCTTCATTAATTAATTCCACAGGGTTGTTAATATTGCTTATATATTCCGAAGAAAGGCGGGGAGTAATATTTACATCGAACTGTAACAACAGAGAAAAATGAATGCTCTACAAAGTATCTAATTTATAAATAGAATGCATTTCTGGAGAAAGTGAGAGCTGCACTTAATGAAATTAAAAATACCTGTGCATCCTTGTAAGAAACTGATATAACACGGTGTTCATCAACCTGAGAAGACAAGGCAAACAAGAAATTCAATAGTGTCGGAAAAACCTTACAATAGATTGGCGACCTTCATTCCATTAACTACATATTGCTCTCAGCTGAATTTGTAACGCAGTTATAGTTTACAAACCAGGGGAACTGTTGAAATATAGTAATCACAAAGAACTGGCGATTCATCTTCCATTAAATTAAGAAATAGCATATCTTTTTAGTTTCCCAAGATATGTCCAACTAAGTTAATCAATTTTCCGTTTTAGCAGCTTAGATATTTGATATTTTAGCTTCCTGAGAAATGTCACCGCACAGATTCCTTCTTCAGAAGCTATATTATATTTTGTCAACCAAGTACGATCCTTACAACACTTCCATGTAGTTTTATATCACATTTTTAATTCCAGGGCACCAGTTCTTGATGTACTGCATATTGTCAACAACAATGAAACCCCGCTTCTTTTGAGGACAGAATTGCATTTGGACAATATATCACTTAGTAGAAAATTATCACCCTTTCATTCTGCAAAGAACCATACATTCATTCTACAAACAACCAGACATACTCCAATTTGGCTACTCGGAAGTTAGAAAAACTATGATGGCAAATTTTTAACTTTAATGGATTTGAAATACTTTATGATTGAGTATGGCACCCAAAAAAATATTTTATCCCAAAAAATAAAAATATTATTTTGCCATAGACTCAATAATCAAAATTTAAATTTTACTTTATATGCCTAGAGACTTTCTTATATATTATATTTAATTTGTAATAGTCAAGCAACTTAAAAAGGTAAAAGTCCAAAATTTTACATAAAATATTATACCCAAGTTTTATTATATTTTTATAAAATCCTACCATAGTCAATCCGACCTCTAAATTTATTGCTCTGCTTGGAAAGAGCTACCAGCTAACCCATTTGAATGCTTTAAAATTATGTAGTTCGGTTTCAAATGCATAAGAAGAGTAAGGAAGGTTGTTTTACATTTAGAGGATATGACTTATAGCTTCACTTTGAGGCCAAGATGCCTGAACATGAAGGGTATGTAGAATGCTAACCCACAAATACAGATTTTTGTTATCTAGTCCTTAAGTGGAGCTTTCTATATGTGACACACTGGACTATGCATGATCATATAAATTTAAAAAAACTTGGTTCCTCGAAGGGAGGGAGCCACAATTTTTTGTTTTATTTAGAAAAATGTGAAGCTTATGGTTGATTTATGTTGTTTATATTTTAATAGATAGAAAACTTATTTTGTCCTAAGATCCTACCGCATCAAAAGTCTAGGCCACTCACAAGCAAAATAAGAGAATAAACCTAAGAAAAAATATGTTTCTATTGTGCACCCATTAAGTAATCAACACATGTATGTATGTATGTATGTATGTATGTATATATATATATATATATATACACACACATACAAATCAACCAAAAAAATAGTGTTAATGTCCAAATTATTAAAATCAGATTTGGCAGTTGAGTTTCATGTCATTATACAACCCACTCAAATTTTATTTACGGACTCTATTTGTGGTGGGGTATATATATATATATATACAAATCAACCAAAAAAAAGTGTTAATGTCCAAATTATTAAAATCAGATTTGGTAGTTGAGTTTCATGTCATTATACAACCCACTCAAATTTTATTTACAGACTTTATTTGTGGTGGGGTCTACAAGTTCTGGCTTCTAGGCAGGTCTTGCGCTTCAACTTAAGTAATGATGCACTCATGTTTTTAGTTTATTTTGTTTTGATGTAATTTGAACAATATTAGTTGTGTTTTATGTTTTTTTTTTTAAGTTATCCAATGATGGAGAGCATCCAATGATCATGATAGGAAGTGCTTGAGCATGGCAAGTTTAGGTTTGCTTGCATTTGGTTCCTTCTTGTCCTTGGGCTGCATGCTGTTCTCGGTTTGGGGCCTTAGTTGCTCTCGGGTTGGGCTTTAGCTACTTGGTTTTGAGCTAAAAAAATTGGATTCTACTTGGTGCTAGCTCATTAATGCTTGAGCTAAAGTTTAGCTCATTATTTGGATGAGTAATTGCACTTCCTAGCTCATAAAATCATAAAGGTATGTGGAGTGGAGCTTCTCTCTTCCTATTCTTGTGTCTCTTTGGTTTCTTCCTTATGAGTCAATGCTATGGGCTGGTTGTCTTTTCGTTTCTTCTCCTTGGCTGCTTTCCCGTGACTCCTCTGTCATGTTTTCTGTGTTGGCTCCTCGGGTCCCTCTCCGGCTGCTTTCCCGTGGCTTGCTGATTGGGTTTCCTGTGGCTTGCTGGCTGGGTTTCCCGTGGCTTTTCTTCCTGTTTTTTGTGCAGAATTTGAGGGTTACTGTGGTGTCTTTTGGCCTTTCATTTCCCCAAATCTGATTGATTTTGGTTGGAGGTGGAATGTCTATTTGGCTACCCTTTTTCCTATATATTTGAGAGGATTTTGTTATGAAGAGGTTGTTGAATATTTGAGCAAAATCTCTACTAAAAACCTGAGAGTTTCTTCTCTTGGACAGGCTTGAGAGCTTGTTCCACCCCCTTTCTTCCTCTCTATTTCATCTTGGCTTCTAACCTCTTCTTCTCTACACAAGTTCCACTCCACTTGTATCCTTCTTCTTGAGCTCTTTGAAGTTGTTTGTTGGCTAATTTTTGGAGACATTTGTCGGAGGAGTTTGGTAGGACGTTGGACCATTTTGCAATGGTGGACCTCGGTTTGCAAGCCTAAGCACTATTTTTATATATTTTCCTACTCTCGTTGCATGTGAGGAAATCGCTTGACGGTTGTTCTGAGGATAGCATTTTTATGTTTTAATTTTGTTTCGTTTGATTTGACTTTTCATTTATCTGGATGTTTGTTTGGATGTTTGCAAGTTAAAGTGAATCGAGTTTAGTTTTATTTTGTCCTTGTATTCTCCAACTTGGCTTATCTTTCTAGTTTGCTTACATCAGGTAAGTACATCCTCTTGATCTGCCTCTCTTTTAACTAAACCCCACATGTTTACAATACAGCCTAAGTCTAATCAGAAATGACTCAAACCTGTAAAATAAAATATTAGAAAATAGTTTATATGACAAAAATATCTTATCCAAAATTTGCTTAGCACTTAAAGTTACAAGCCCATATTTCTATCCTATTGGCCACATCTCTTGGGGGAGGGGGGGTCAACACCTATTAGCAAGCATTTTATTTATTATTTATTGCACCCTTTTTGGACATGGCCACCTGCAAGAAGTGCATGCATGTATATTTCTAAACTATCTACTTAATGACAAGTGCCCACAACGCAGACAATCTAAAGAGCATCACACCAAAACATCAAACACATACACATAAAAAGAAAAAAAAAATCATAATCTTAGCATGCCTAGGGGGTTGTGCACCTAATGTGTGAGGCTTGTGTGGCATATTACACTATGAAAACTGTTTTTGTTTTATTGAGGAGAGAAAACTTTTAATCTTAATCCAAGGGAGGGTGATTTCACTTTAAGTTGTTTGTGACATATATATTTTATTTGACTTTTAGGGGTTTCATATTTAAAAGGATTATGAAGAACTCATAAAGCAAACACTGCATGCTTTTAGGCAAGTCTTACTACTTATGAGTCCTAAGATACAATGATGCAACCATTCCACCTTTTGGGGTGGAATGATTAATCGTTGTATCATAAGACTTAGGTGATTTTGAGATGTTTTGGAGTTCTCTTAGTGTTTGGATAAGGTAAACATGTCTAAGGGTTATACTTATGTCTTTGTGAAATTCACACAATAGAATAGGATGAATTTCAATAAATGGAAATATCCTAAAAAGACGTCTAAGAGTTATGTATTTTAAATGTCATGAGAGGAGAAAAGATCACTTGTTTTTGTTAAGTAAAAATGATTACATAGAGTTTAGGTCTAAGAAAAGAGATATACAACATGTAACTTTTGGGCTAGATGTTGGAGAATTCTCCTTTAGCTTTTAGAGCTAAAAATGGAGAATGTAGGAATCCAAAATTTTACTTTTAGGCTAAATATTGAAGAGTTCTCCTTAGTTTTCGAAGCTAAAGAGATAAACAATCTCCTAAGCTTTGACGTTGGAGGGGAAAGGGAAACATATAGTTTTTGAGCTAAGGTTAGAAGTCTTCTAAGGCTTTTGGATTCCCTAGAAGGAGAAATGACCCATAGTTTTGGAACTACAAGTCAAAAAGCACTCATCGAATTTTGTATTCAATGATGCACGATCATCTACCTAATTTGGATTAAGTAAATGTAGGAGGGTGAGATGTAAATGTGGATTACAAATCATAAAAGAGCTTTCCTTGAACTTTTGGATGTTCAAGGAAAGATGTTCAGTCACCTACCTTGAGTTAGGCAAATGAGATGATTTCCTACAACTTTTGAGTTCTAGGAAGGAAGTGGAAATATGGAACTTCTTTAAACTTTGAGATGCTCAAAGAAAGATGATCATTCATCCAATTTAGATTAGGAGAATGAAGAGATCCCAAACAACTCTTGAGTTGTAGAAGTGAAGAAGCAAAGTGCAACTTTTAGGTTAGTTGTTGAGGAGGGGACTTTGAACTTTTGATATTCAAAGAGGAGGAATCATTCATCCAACTCAGGTTGGAGAAATTAGAAGAGGAGAAAATACAACTTGGGAGTTTCAAATTCATGAATATTCTTTGAACATTTGGTGTTCAAAAGAATCCATTTATTTGCCCAATTCGGGGTTAGGCAAATGAAGGAGAATTTGAATATTTTCCTACAATCTTGCCTTGTAGGCAATGATGATTAGAATGCAACTTAAAGGTTGCTAATTGGAGGAAACTCAATGAACATTTGGTGTTCAAAGAAAGGGAAGTCCATTCCTCCAAATTAGGAGGGAGAGATGGAAGAAAGGATTGCAATTTGAAATATTCTTTGAACACTTGGTATTCAAAGAGAGATGATCACTTACTTAGTTTAGGCTAAGTACATGGAGGAGTTTCTTTGAGTATTTGGTATTAAAAGAGAGATGTGCAATTGCATAATTTGGGTTGAGCAAATGAGGAAGGCTAGGATTTGGATCCTATGTCTAGAAGATTAAGCATTGGTTTTGTGTTCCAACGAATTTGGTTCCAAGTTCAAGAACTTGCAACATGACGTTTTGAGAAATCCATAATACAAGACATGAGGAAGATTGGTGGTAACTCCTAAGTATGCTAGGAGTCATGCAATGAAACATTCGAAGCCTTGAGGATGCTCCAGCAGTCATGCATGAAGCAGGGATAGATGATTGTTCGTTGACTTTGTGTTTCAATAAAACAAAAGATAAGTGGCCTAGAATTTGGTTCTAAGACCTAATGACTCAAGTCATGATTTTGCTTGAAACCTTTGGAGGTTTCAAAATGTCATACATGATAGAAAAGATCATTTGAAAGAAGGTTCCCTATTCTTCTATGAAGGTTTTGGATTTCATGGGAAGGGGAGATTGATTCTTAAAGCTTTAGAAAGATTCCTAAATAAAATTTTCCCTGATTAGGAGATATTAGGAACATAAAGAAGTCGTGCACTTGAGTACTTTTCATTTGCAAATTGAATGAAATAGGCTTAGAAAATTTCAAAATGTGGTGGGCTGTTAACCATGGCTTTTGAGGGTCCATGAAATACTCCAAATTTGCTTCATGGGAACTTGAAATTAAATGAGCATATTTTATAAACTTTGCAAACTTTAGAAATTTTGGTAAATTAGAGCAATTCCCTAAACATTTTTTTTATGCAATGAGATTTGTACGTGTCAAAGATGAACTCAATTAATTATTTTAGCATAGGCTCCATAATGTAGACCTTTGAGAGTCTATGCAAGCTCCATGACAAGACACAAGCTCTCTAAAATAATTAAATCCCTCTGTAACTTTTCCAAAAAGACAAAGGCTCTCAAGTGCAAAGCCCAATCAAGAACAAACTCCCACACTGAAAACATATACATCGACATTTGAGTTAGAAGTAAATGACAATGCAATCCTATGGTTTGATTGCGGGTAATGTCTAGGGAGACAACATGAATGCAGTTCATGCAAGGTAGAGGCTGTACAGAGACTTTTTGGATATGTAAATAAATTTTAGAAAGTTTTAACAAAACTTTGTATTTATTTTTATTACATTTGAAGTTTAATTGAGGTATATTACATGCTTCTTGTTGTTAAGTATAAAGTTTGATGTGTTAGGAGAGTCTAAATAGATTACTTTTTACTCATTCTAATATAAGTAGCTAAGAATGGGTGTTAGTAAGAAGGGACATGTTTAGATTTTCCTTCTCTATTATACTCCAAGTTGACCATAAGAGGGGCCAAATTGGGATGTGACACAATCGTACCGCCAGGCGGTTCTGAATCAATGGCTAAGATGATATGCTACTTCCCCTAAGAGTTGCCTTCGCTAGCGGGAAAAGAGAAATGTGGTAAAAGTTAAAATAGGAAAGTGCAACAAGGATGTCTCTTTTCTTTGCCTTCTCAGCAACTCGAGCAAAGGCTCGGGTCGACTTAGAGAGCGTTAGAATGCTAAGAAGGTTAATATATATCTTAATTTTGTAAGGGTTGAACCAAATGAACGAATTAGGTTCAATAATATTCAATTTTAGGTATAGGTTGAACTGGATGAGCTAACTAAAATTGATTTAAACGACTTGGGCATGGGCATATTTGTTTCAATTTAATTTGGCTTCGTAAATTTAGAGCTAAATTGAATTAATCGATTTAATCAATTTGAATCGACTTGCCAATTAGATTAAATTGAGTCAGTTCTGGTAAAAAAAAATAGAGTCAACAGCTAATGTGTATAATCTAATGAACTTTAGGTGAATATTATCCATTAATAGCAGGAATAGGATGAATTATGCAACTAATACAGCGCTTCAAAGTATAGCATAATCATAAACTGAAACCTGGGACAAAATAGAGTTATAGAACTGCTCGGCAGGATTACCATTTCTGCTACCAGTGGCATGCATTTTATGGTTCAGTGGTGTCCTCTTTTGCATTAAAACAATGTTAGTAAAGAAACTCATTAGATTAGGAAAAATATGAAATCAAAAAAAGAATATCCCCAGGTTCCTCCAGTCGTCTATTTTTATATAATTGGAAGGCTACTAATAAAGAAAGCAAACTGACGCCAAAAATGAGAGCAGAAATAGGAAGGATTAGAGTTGGAGCTGGCTAAGACATTAGCAGTTCTAACACATTCCATATTTGCTCTTTAAGCAATTATAGCTTTATCATTTAGTGCATCTCCAACCGAAAATTCCATTTTTCACTCCAAAATGCAGTGAAACTCAAAAATGCCGTGAATCAACTCCATTCAAACTCCATTATGCGGGCTTTTGCGAAGGTAACGGTCTTTCTCCTCTTTGGCGCGTTTCTTCCGCAAGTCTGGTTGAGATAAGAAAGTGGCGTTGATGAACAGTGCAACGCCAATATTGATGTCGCACTGTTCACCCGCAAGCAGCAACAACAACAACAACAACATCAAGCCTTTGTCCCACTACGTTGGGTCGGCTACATGAATCCTTTTTCGCTTAAAGGATTCATGTCATGATTATTCGACAAGTTTTACGCTGGCTATCGACTACCTAACGCAACCCTGCACTTTTCTCTTCCAAGACTTGGGACCTGGCAACGGCAGTGTTATGTTCACCCGCAAGCAAATAGCAGAAAATTTTGCGTTCGGATGGAGTAACCGAACGGCGCCATAGACATGCTTGGCGTTCAGTTGGAGATGGTCTTAAGGATACAAACCCATCATAAATATTTATTAATAATAATATGGGCAAAAGATTAGTTACAGCTCTTTTTAGGGCATAAAACTAGTTGCAGCTTTGTTTGTCCACAAGGTCAGATACAGATTTGAACCCACATAGAGAGCAACAACAATTCTTTAAACCATAGCCTGCAAATCTTGAACCTAGACCTATGCCGTGAAATCAGAGCATCTTTGGCGTATCCATTCCATAATAATTACTAAAATGGTTTAATAACTGGAAGAAATCTATGCTAATATTCACTGCTCAATAAAATGCTCAGCTTTCTAGAAATTATTCTGTTCATGGGATCATAGGTGATACTAACTAGTAATTTAGTACACAGCATAATACCTTTGATAAGCTCTCAAATAGCATCTCAAAGAAAAGATCTACTCCAACATTGCCAATATCACCGCTCTGCTGTTCGCCAAAAATGCTCCCAAATCCTCTTATTCCCATGTCCCTCTCAGCTAGCTGGAAGCCTTGACCAAGATCCCGGTACTCCTCAATAGCAGCAAGCCTCTCCTAGGGTGAAAAGAAGCAACCACAATAAATGCATACAGTTAGAAAACCCATCTATTGAACACATTACATTGTTTTAGAGCATCAAAATATGAAAAGGTTTAACTTAGAATAATAAAAATCTTTAGATCACAGGACTTCCAATACCAATACAATAAAAAAAGAATACGAACCAAGAAAAAACCTGCTTAAACTACAAAGGAACACAAAGATGATTAGATGGCAATGAAGTTTCTCAGCCAATAAAAGAGCATTACAAGCAACTCACCAGAGCTTGCTCTGATAGCAATGATTTGTCAGGATAAAATAAGTATGCATAAGCCTCTTTATCTGCTCGGCCAACTCTTCCTCGCAACTAAGAAATAAAAAATTGAAGTTATAATATCAAAATGTTAAGAAATAAGGCAAATGAAATAATATTAAAAGGCAAAGACATCTGAGAAGAAATTATCTCCACACTGCCAGCGGTTTGCACCTTGGTCAATTTTACAAGCCAAAGAGTACAGAAGACAATTTGATTATATTTCATGGCACGGGTACTATTTACTCCTACCAGATAGAATGATCACGTCCTAATGTATTTAGAAAATCAGAAATATTTCAGTGCTAAGTTTTCTTTATTGTGTTCATGAGCCCATGTTATTTTGCATCAATATGCTCCCATTATAGGGGACATTGGTTCATCTTTAGCGTGTAGCATCAGAACCTTTCATATAAGCATTTCATTCTGTTTCAAACCAATATATAAAGATTAGCCCCTGACAGCTAAAGCACATTTACTTCACCTAAAAAAATGAAGTAGAATGCCCAGAGGATCGCATCTAGAGTTCATTAATGCAAATCTAGAATGAAATGCAGAATAAAATACAAATTTATAATTCATGGGATATGAACTTTCGGATTCTGCAAAGACTAGTCACCTTTGATGAAAATCAGCAGAGCAAACTTTCACATTCCAAACAATAGTTAACATTCATCAAAATCTAAAATTTTACAAGAAAAATTCAAGGTGAATATAAAATTCTACAACAATCAAGATTCACGCTACAAACAGGAATACAACACCGAATCAAACATGACAGACTTCAGTCACACAAACATGAATCACTGAAACAAGTTAGTAGAAAGAAAAATGATAAAAATCACCAAGAGAATCAGGCCTCGAACTAGAAAAGAACAGTGGTAAAAATTTGTAAAGTGTTAGAAGCATCCATATCCAATAGAGCGCACACAATAATTGAAACATTTTGAATTAATTGTTTCATTATGCAATGTTATCTCTTTTTTATGAGTGTGACAAGTCCTTTATATAACTCATGAAGCATTCAAATTAATAAACTCTTCATAATCCTCTAAGAACTAATTAAACACTACAAATTTCAATTATCTCAGCATCAAATAGAAGGAATCAAATTTTACTTTTCAATTTTATTCATTGCATTCAGCCTTAAAAGAAAATTCATAAGGAGGTGACAACATAACCTGCACACAAGGCTTCAGTAGAGAAACTTGTGGACAGAACAAATAACGAAATTTGCATGGAGAGGTTCAAGGAAATCTCATAAACATAAGAATAGTAAAAGCTTATGTATCGCACTTCCCTCTGTGCCTCCTGGATTAGCAAGATTGTAGCATGTCATACTAGCCTTCTGCAACTCCGTTTTTCGGGGATGTAGCATGTGAGGCAAGCAAACAAGTATGGCAACCAACAAAGCATGTGAATTATGAACTAAAAGCAAGAAACAACCTAAGAAATATTCAGTATAGCTAGCTTGGAACCAAAGGTAAGGAAAATCCAAAATCTGGTCATGATATTGAATGAATTGAGGCCCTTGTAGTTAACCAAGCATAAAAAGCAAATCAAAATAGTGGAGAACAGTTCACTCTCAGTTGGATTAACATCATAGACATGTTTTGACAAACTGAAAATAAAACAAACTGCGACCTAAGAAAAAAATACAATGCAAACTAATCATGCTTCCTTTTAGAACTCACTTTCTCCGGTTTCAATGAGTGATTTCCATCACAATGATACTTGATTAGTTCATAACCATCAGCCCAGAACACCCTAGCACATTTGAATTTAAGATATATTATTTTTAAACTAATAGGTGCGCTTTTATACAAGAATATTTGACAAAGTTGCATAATAATCAAATAATTAAGGGGAAAATGACCAAAATGGTCCCTGGACACTTTATGAAGGATAAAAATAGTCCCCAACTATATTAAACAATCATTTTAGTCCCTCAAATTCTTTAATTAGAATAATCTAGAGAGGGGAGTCAGGAGTGGCAGCTTGGGAGGCACTTACAAGATGATGACTACTCATTTAGCACCCAAGAGTCCGGCATCAGGAGGATTTCATGAGACCACCGGGGAGAAGCCAGTAGGAGGAGGGAGTGGGGGGGGGGATTTTAAGAGGCTGACAGAGAAGGAGATACAGGAAAAAAGGGCAAAGGGGTTATGTTTTCGGTGTGATGAGAAGTATACTCCAGGGCATAGGTGTAGGGATTGAACTCTTCAGGTTCTCACCGTCTGTGATGACAAGGAAATTGAGGAGGGAGGTGAGAGAGAGATAGATGACAAGCTGCATCTGGATGTGGCGGAGGTCTCCCTGAATTCAGTAGTAGGATTCACAGTGGGAAATAGCAGACATGGAGATGGTAGTTTTGATTGACAGTGGGGCTACCCATAATTTCATTTCCACTCAGGTTGTCAACCAAAAGGGAGTGAAGTTGGTAGACACCGGTTATTATGGGGTGATGCTAGGTACAGAGAAGGTGGAGAAAGGTCAGGAGATCTATATAGGAGTGTTGTTGACCATCTAGGGGATTCAGATAAGGGAGGATTTTCTCCCCCTAGAGTTAGGAAGTACTAATGTCATCTGGGGATGAAGTGGTTGCAAACCTTGGGGGAAACCAAAGACAATTGGGGAGCACTCAGTCTCACGATGGAATTATTGGTGGATAGAAAAAAGGTGATAATAAGGGGAGATGCAGGGCTATCCAAAGCCATAGTATCACTAAAGACCATGGTTAGGAGCCTATAAAAGGTGGGGGAAGATTATCTGGTGGGACTACACAAGCTAGATGTGATCAGGATGGAAGAGGGAGGGAATGTTTCTCTTTCAGTACGGCCCTTGATTCAGTAATTTGGCAAGGACTTTCAGTCACCTCAAGGATGGTCACCTCCATGGGAACACGAGCATATCTCCACCTTGAGGACAAGGTGGATCTTTGGGAGTAGGAATGTCAATATTTGACACGACCCGAAAACCTGACTCAAACCCGATCCGAAAATTTTGGGTTAGGGTCAACTCGGACCAGAAACATGTCGGGTTTGGGTTCAGTAAATCGACCCGTTTCAAAAATAGGGTCGGGTTCAGGTTGACCCAGTAACCCGAAATTGACCCGATTCTAGCCCGGTTTTTACCCAAAAACCCATTTTTTGCCCAAGAAACCCGAGATTAACCCATTTTTTACCTGATTTTGACCCAAAAATTGGAGAATGACCATTTTTTTACCCGAAAACAGCATTTTTTGGTCGGTCTCATGTCATTTGGGTCGTGTCGGGTTGACCCGAACCCGAAGCGGGTTAGGTTCGGGTTGACCCTAACAGTACCGGGACAGTTCTGAGTTCGAACCGAACCCGACCCGTGACCCAAAATTGACACCCCTATTTGGGAGGGGAGTATTGTTAGACCGGTCCATTGGACCGATCCAGACGGTCCACATGGGACTTGCCCAGGCACGAACAAGGCGAAACGTCTCCGCCTCCTGCTTTAGCCGCACTCACCGCAGGAACTAACGGAGCATTTTAGAAATGATTTTTGAGGAATTTGGGAGGGAAATTTAAATGTAGAGACTGTTTAGGGATTTCCTTTTGATTTGTATGCATTAAATACTTTGTTTTCCTAGGGTTATGGAGATGAGGACATCAAAAGATCAACGGCTACGATCTAGAGCTTATTTTATTTATTTTTTTTATCTCTTATGTACTAGTTTATCTTATATTACTGTTTTTTTTTTTCATTTTACCCTTAGGAGTGGTCATGTAGTGTTGTAGCCCGTAGGGCGTTTTAGTCTTTGTTATTTTTCTTTTCATTTGGCCTATTTATAGGCTAACTCTCTTGTATTGTAGGATGATGATTTTATAATAAAAATTTCATGTGTTTCCTTCTTCTTCTTGTGTGAGCACTAGAGAGAAGGGAGAGAGAGCTGAAGGTGAGCAAGCGCAATACCCACCAGTCGTTGGAAGAGTCCGCGACTCGTGGTTTTAATTTATTTTCTTCTTCTTCTCCCTTTTCCCCATTCCACCTGCCAACCCCTCCTAGCTTTTCCACCCCGGCCATCCTCCCCACCCAAATTCTCTCCCAGTTCCACCACCTCAAGCGCCAACCAATGGCCCAAACCCCTCTCCTCCAACCCGACCCCAACTCCTTTCCACATTCCCTTGCCGCCGCCCCTTACATGGCTCCCTACCATTGTGATGACTCCAAACATCATCATGGCTCCCTAGAGCGAGTCAAGCAAGATAGGAAAGGTTTTTCATCATTTGAAATTAAAATTTGAATTTCAAAAACTTTTATAATTCCCAAAGTTCCAAATAAGGAAAGTTTTTAAATTTCAATCCGATTTAATTTTAAATTTAAGAGGGTTGTTTATTCTCTTTCCTATGTGGCAAACCTCATTTGAAAACTTATTCAAATCTTCCCCATACTAATCCTCCCCTCATGATGCCCCGGGCCACCCGTTAATGGGTTAAATCCTATTGCTTCCTATTTAGGCTCCATCCCATTTTTTTTTTTTTTAAATTAGGGTTAAATCCTATTGCTTCCTATTTAGGCTCCATCCCACTTGAATTTGAATTCAAAATTCAAATTAAATCCCGCCAAATCACCTTAAATCTGAAATAAATCTCATATTTAATTCCCACTTACAATTAATGATGTGGTCCACATTCGTTGAATGTGGACACAATTTTGCCATCCCTCCCTAGGCCGGCCCCACTCTCTCTCTCTCTCTTGCCTCATTAAATCACCTCCCACTAATTGCTTCAATCAACCCCTCATTAAGGAATGACTTTCTCTCCTTTCTACATTATTTGGGGATTCAAAATTCAAAACCTGGCCCCTAAAACCTGCTCTAAAATGCAGTCCAGCAATTTTCCACTTAGAAACTATTGTCCGGGAAACTCCAACCAGGCATAGTGCTGCCAGGTTTGCTTTTGTTTGCTGGCCAGCACTCCTCCAAGCACTGTCCAGAGATTCCTGCAACCCTTTTTCTTCTGTCCAGCTGATTGGTGAAGCCTCGAGTGTTGTTTACTACCCAGGTGTTGCCAAAGTGCTGTCCCAAACAGCCAAGAAATTCGTGTTGCCTTCCATCCCTTCCCAAACACTCAAACGACCACGTTGGAGCTCCGGATTGTCTTTCCCTTGGCAAGTCTATCTAGCTGTCCTGCAAGTCCCAAAGGCCTTCCTTGCTATTTGAAGACCTCTCTGGGGTGGTAGCTGCTGCCCAGATTTTTGGGAAGCTGTTTGGATTTTTGTCCAGAAGTATTTCAAGTGCTGGAACTGCTGCCCAGATCTGAGAACTTGCTGTCCAGAGTTCTCCACAACTCCCGACTGCTGTCCCAATTACTGTGGTTGCTGTCCAGAGGAGCCCGCACCGTCCCCTTGCTGTCCTGCTAATTGGAGAGGCTCCCAAAGGCTGTTCGAGGCAGCTAGGAATGTCAGATTGCTGTCTACTTCTCCTCCAACACTCCAATGATCACAATGGAGCTTCACCTCTCATCTTCTACGGGTGAACTCTTCCCCAGCTCTCCTATATTCCTAGTCTATTACTCTATTGTGGTTGCACTTTGATTCACTATGAGCATGCTAGTTCTCCTTCGCTAAAACCTAATACTACTAGAGAGTTGAGCGAGGGATTCTTGCATCGTGCCTAATATTATTCTTAGCATTGGGATTTATTGTTGAAAATCATTCATGTATGCAATGTTAGATTAAATTGGCTATTTTACGATCTTAACTCATATGCATGTAATTTAGCCTAAACTTGTCTTACCGCTCATTATGTTTTCTTTTGTCGTTCAAAATCAATACAAAGATATAATTATTATGCTCTAAAATTAAGAGTGCAAATTCATTAAGTAATTCATCTTCGCATGTACGTTTTACATCATATGGCATCTTGAATTTGGCTGAAATTTGAGATCTCTTAGATTTAGGTTTTCCTTTGGGCTCTAGCGGCGTCTAGAGATTTGGGAGAGATCGATCCTCGTCTCAAATAGAGTATCAATTGTATCTTTAATCAAATAATACAAATTATTTACTCTTTTTTGGTTTTGTGTGGATTTTGGTAGAAAAAGTTCACTGTTTTCCGAAGATTGATAGGAAATACTTGAAATCTACAAGTGTTTCCTATCAGAACTTTTCTTTCAAATATCTTTTATATGCCAATTATATTATTATAATATACATGTGAATATCTTCATGAAGAACAAAACTTTTGTTTTAGTTGCTCTTTCATAATATTGAAATTTTTATATGAATAAAATAAATAAATAAATATTGTTTTGAAATTTTATGGCATGTTAAGATCTAACCTTCCATTATAATCCCCTAATCCCTCTCCATACTTAGAGCATCCAAGTTTAGTCGTAACATAGCCATCATTTAATTATTACATTAACTGATAGATCATTATAAGCCCAGAGAGCATATATACAATATACTTTCATAAAAATTCATATTTAGCATAAATAACAAGAATTAGTCAAAATGGTACCATATAGATGATCTGAAAATAGCAGAAGCCCAACATCTGGCCAATCATCAATATAAATAAAATACCACAGCTAATTACATTTCTTTGTATTTAAAGCACAATTAATAAGCCCAATTGAGGTGCTTACCTGGTACAACTGAGCCAACCCAAACTGTTGGACTTCCTGAATTATTATGGTATTAGCATTTTGGATATTCAGCCCATTTTCAACTATGTTTGTACAGATAAGGATCTTGATGTCCCCAAGAGAGAACATTTTCATTGTTTCTTCTAGTTGCTTTGAGTATTGCTGTCAAAAGAAACATAATAACTTTTCAGCGGTAAAACAAAGGAGAGGTCATTGAAGCGATAGGAAATATAATTAGTATGAATAATGATTAAGTACTCAGCAGAAATAGTTCCTTGCAGACTAATATTAGAACCTAAGGCAAACTTAATATCAAGCTGAATATCTCGTAATGCAAAGTTTACTACAAATATTATCCGATCTCAGTATCTCCTTGAGGTAGCAATCCTAGCTGAATAGTATGTCAACATTCATAGTACAGGAGATTTTTCTTAATAAGTTAAAAATTGGAACTTTCTTTAAAATGTGATAAAAAAAATTTCATTGTTGTTTTTTCTATCAAGAAGAAAAGAGTTTCATATCATAGAAAATTTTCTCTAATGCCTATTTCTGTTTTTAGGTAAGAGAGAACAATCTTTGCTCCTTAGTGAGGATGTGGAATCTGACCTCTTTTTAAGGCAAATCGACTTCCACTCAACGATATAAATTTTATACTTCAGAGTGGAGATTTCTCTATTTTTTTAACAAACAAACAAATGGAAGAAGACTCGCTTGTCCTCATTTTCATATTTTCAAGAGCAAACAAAAATACCCTGGGAGAGAATTTATTGTTACATAAACTTTTTTTTTCTTTCTCCAGACGGGAGGTTGGAGGTTGAGACTGAGGGAGGGTGGGGGCATATTTCTACCGTCTCTTCTTGAAATAATCTAGAAATTCATCCGTGATTTAAATAAATGAACAAAAAAGCGATCTTGCCTTCAAGACGTACAATCAATGAAATTTCTTTCAAATTTTAGGAAGAACTGAGCAAACATTAATACCAAGAGAGAAAGCCAATATGAGTATGATTAAATAGCATTTGACATTGATAAAAAATTAAATTTCCGAAGTGACATCCATTCAGGATTTGCCATTTGAGAATGATGAACCTTCAATATGTTAAGCTTTAAAGAAAAACTGTATCAAGTACAAAATCAGTGCAGGCTCCCCAACAAATGAGAGCTTTTATAATTTGACTTTATGAAAAATAAAAGAAAATATGAGCGGAACTAGTCAAGTAAAACAGATGCCACGTTACAAGCCAACTGACCTTCCCATGAGCAATAGCAATCGCAACATGTGAAAATGATTGCTCAAGAAATTCCATTACCTCTTCTAGGTCTGTCAAAAACAGACAAAATCACTAACATCATATATCACAACACAATTAGCAGCAAAAAAGTTATAGTAGTCTCATCCTGCAACTCCATAATAAAATTCATTTTTATACGAATTGATCATCATTTGAGAATCTTACATCACATGTAAATTGAAGGTAGTTGAATATTTGGCCATGACTTTTAAAGTTGACACTTTAACTTTTTAATATATTTGGTTGTTATGTAAGCTAAATTTAATCTGCATCATTAGAACCAAAGGAATAAATAAACCCTGATACAAATACATAATATAATTAATATAGCCCCATCCTATTATGGCAGAATATATCTAGTATAGAAATTATTTGCATGCGTAATGCTGATAGAAAGTAAATTCCGATTACACGTTAGCATGAAATAATCTGAAAATATTGCACTGAAATTTTCCAAAAAAAAAAAAATCCACCAAACGGGAAAGAAACAATCACCTTTAATTCGAGGCAGAACATAGAAAACTTGACCACCACGGTCTAACTCAAATTTGATTGCAGATAGAACCTTCTCTTTACTATAGGCTGATAGATGAGTCTTTATAGGAACTCTTTCTGGGGGTGGTGTTGAAATTAAGCTGAAAAAGAATCAGGATGAGGAATGCTCAACAAATACAAGACCATGGTCATCATTAAAGAAACAACTTTTGAGAAAGGCTGATTGAATGACTTAAACATTCATGATTCATTTAAAACCCTCTTCTTTAGAGTATTTATCATTGCAAGTTGATCATTAGTTTTTTTTTTTTTTTTAATGTTAAAGCTGCAGTAATCCTATGGAATCTTAAAAAACAGTAGGGTTCTCATCCAAGATGAGTTGAAGATATGCATGGATCAGATATACAAAAAATTGATTGAAATTAGGCTGAAAATTGCACATGAAGTCATGAATGGCAACTGCACGCTATAATTGCAATAAGTTTCATGCATGACGGGCCCCCTCATTAAGACCTATTAATGATGTACATGAAATAAATCAAAATCATTCTAGCGTTTTCTAGATCATTTGATTATTTTCTTTTAGTATTATTAGAAAATAGCATTTTCAGGACTTATCATATTAAAATTTCAAGTAGTTCATGTTATCTAATAATCATATTTCTATGAATAGAGATTTCAATCCTTACGAATTAAATTTGAATCAAAATTCTCCTTCTTCCTCTCTACTCTATCGTCTCACTCTTTCCATACAATTCCAAATATCAAGACTCTCTCCTCTAGAATCCTCTTACACAGTTTCTCTCAATGGTGAAAAACAACAATCCCTAGAAAGGAAAGCATGGTTTTCTATAATACCCAAATCCCCTCCCAATTTTTCTCTCTCTAAACTCTCTCCAATCCTTGCACACCTAAAGGGTTGACTTCAAGAAAAGGAAGTTGCAATCAAAGACAATTTGATAGAACAAAAGAGTGATCAAACAAGCCAATTATCAATAAGGCCCCATCATCAATTTGGCATCAAGAATGATATTTTCTATGTTAATTCTGACATCAAAGGGAAATTTCTTGAAGTTAACAGCTGAACTCTAGCCATCATTATCCTTCCCTTCCCTGTACTCATCCCACACCACCCCTTCAACCAATCTCCATACGCCTAATCCTACCCATAACATCGTAAGAATATAAGACTGAAACATTATAATGGATATGGTATAAATTTCATTGAAAGAATATTATAGAAATTTCCCAACCAGTATAATAATACGCATTATATTTCGCATTATAGATCAAACATAATATGATGCAAATGAGCATATATATCTATTCCTCGTCAATATGATAACAAAAATGTATCATATTACAACCATAATTATGCCAATTATTACATTCATCGCGAGTGATAAAGATATCATTAATCATCTTCAAAAATAACAATTTTGATGAATATGAACATCCAACTGTCTATTGCAATTGGTTCTTTAATACATCAAAAATTTTCTATCATGAATTAACTAGGAAAACAAATTATGGCATCAAAACTTTTATATCATGAATTTATACTTGATCATCTCATTTAAGACCATCTCATTCATGATGGAAAAATCAAATCATGCGCCAGTTTTTTGAACATCAAATGTTAAGTTCAAGTAAATGTGTACTTTCCACAATTTAAAAACCTAGTCCTTATGTTGATTTAGTCTTTTGAGGATTGCTACTGCGATGAAATGGATTTTACATATAAGCTTAATGACAAAGATAATTAGATGTCATTTATTGAGTCTCTTGTTAAACCAGAACTTAAGGCTATTCTTAAGACTTTTATTCAACCTAAATTTGATATCATGTATGGCCCTATTGCGCAGCCTGAGACTAAAATCATTTCTACCAGCGTTCTAATTCAAAAGTACATTAAGATTATGAAATTGAGTTGATTCATAAACTATGATATTATTACCAGATTTATCTCCAAATATATATAATGTTGCAGAGATTCCAAAACTTTCGTTTGGTTCTGCACCAAAAACTATAGGTTGGGTTAGTATTACCACTAACATATGACTATACTATCCTCGCCATTAGAATTGAACCGAGAAAAATGTACAAAACATAAAAATAGTTGAATCTGAAGCCTCCAAATTTTATTTCGAGCAGTCAAAAAGATTCAAGTCATAATCATGAACTAATGCCATCACCATTTACTCATTGAAAACAGTCTTCAAAGAAAAGGCTTTGGAATGAATCTTAAGGAGAACAGTGTAATATCAGTTTTTGCTCCAGGTTCGTCCGGGACGAAGTTGGATCGTCCGGGACGATCGGTACAGGTTGTGCAGAAAATCAGTTTTGGTTGTATGATTCGTCGGGACGAAAATTGGATCGTCTGGACGAAAATTCTCCCGTGAACCCTTCGCCCAGATCCTGGTTAAGAAAGGTCTCTCGTCGCGATCCGGCTCGGGCGGGATCCGTCCCCGTCGGGTCGGGTCGTGACAAACAGTTCTATTGGTTCTAGAGAAGTTGATATCTTCATCAAAATTATTCTAGTAATTTTGGATTATTTTAGCATCTTTATTTCAGTTTGAATGTGTCTAATTTTAGAAATATTATCTTTAAACGATAGAATTTTTAAGACTTATCTAGATTTAAATTTTAAATAGTTAAATTTTTATTAAGTAATCATTTTTTTTATAAATAGAAATTTAAATGTATGTAATTGAATTAACAACAATAGAATAAAATGAGAATCAAGACTACCCTTATTTCTCTTTTCTCTCACTGGTCTCTCTTCCCACGACTCCCTCCTTCACTTTCTCTCCCTTATTGTACAGGTCCAATGTCCAAATCTCTCGCAACATAATTTTCTCTCTTGACATAAAACATTAATCCTAAGAAAACACTACTCGGTTTTCCATAGAATTGAAGCTCCTCCCTTCATTTCTCTCTTTAATATCCTTTCTCTCCTCACTACTCTTAAATCAAAATATTGATGTCAAAAAAAAGAGGCTACAACCAAAGGCAATCTTGATACACAAGGAAGCCACAATCAAAAGGAACAAAAGGAAGGGAAGTTTTGAGATTGATAGAAATCAAGCAATTTCGGGATTTATGCTTCATACTGTGAAGGAGAGAATTCCATTAGAGAGGATCTTGGGAATTGTAATTGTACGGCAACTAAGAAATAGTTGAGGAAGGAGAAAGAGAGAGAAAGAAGAAAGGATTCAACCAGAATCATAATTCAAATTTCATTCTTTGATGGATAAATTAATTACAAGCACTGAAAACTTTATTTATAGAAATAAGTATTCAAATACATAATAGAAGCATCCTATTTAAAATTTAAAACTTGATAAATCCAAAAAATCCTATGATCTTAAGAAGTTAATCATAAAATTAAATGCATTATAACTGTAATAAAAACACAGAATTATCCAAAAATACTAGAATAATCTTGAAAATTCTAGAATAATTTTGTTGCATGTCTTGTAGTATATTAAAAATAACTATGAAATCAGCTCCAATGATCAGAAAATATGATGACAATCAAAGTGAAGGACAGTCGAATTCAATGTATCCAAAATGGTTCAGCCTATACACTTAGATCCATTGAAGGTAAGTTCATAAAGACTACTCTCCTCCAATTGAAGGACCTACATGCAAAAGAAGCCATTATTCATTTCACAGCAAACAGATATTTTCCACATTTTAATGAAGGATTTTGCTGATACAATGTTGTATTTGGGGAAAATTTCATAAATATGGTAGCTTAATGGTGCAGAGTTTATTTGACCTTTTAGGAAGACTGTCACACTATCCAGTGAATAAATAAGCTTTTCCAGAATGTGCTTCGAGTACTAACATATTTAATCTATTCTTTTTATTTGATTTAGAATATGTCAAATTTAAGTACAATACCTATCATTTGGTACTTAATTGTTTTGATGGATCCTTGTTGATGGTTGGTGTAAAAATTGTGAAAGTATAATATAAAAAAAGGAAAGATATTATTGAAACAACTAAATATTTGACAGCACATTGTGAACCAACATCAAACTAACACCATATAGTGGACGGAAGCAAATTAGTATATTTACCTAGCATCACGGAACCCAGTCAAAGCCAAGTAAAGCGTGCGTGGAATAGGAGTGGCAGAAAGAGTGAGAACATCAACTGATGTTTTCATTGATGCTATCTTCTCTTTCTGTTTTACGCCAAACCTCTGTCAATCAAAAACTAGAGAAAAAAATCAGTCACCCTCCATGTTCAATACAGAAACTGAAGTAATGTGATGCAGTATATCTGCCCTGCAGTAATGTGAAAGGTAGCAAATGGTAGAGCAGCCATACGTGTTGCTCTAGTTTACAGTGCACAACAGAAGTGCAATTAAGACGCACTTTACGTAGAACACTTTAGCCTTGTTTTTTATTTGAACTTGCAATTCTAGATTATTGTGTTTGAAAATTGGCATAACATAGGATTATTATGACACAAAAAACAATTGATAAAAAGTTAAATTTGCTGATATTCTTATTAGCATTTTAAACAAAACATGTTTTTGCTCATGTTCCTTGCTTAAACGGTATTATATCTTGTTGAAAAGCATAAGAATGATGTCCTTTCTTATGTGATGCAGTTCTTAATTTCCCGTGTCATGGTAGCGATGCATTTTAGCCATGTATGTATGTGAAAATTTACGCAAGTATTACAAAGTCATGATTTGATAAAACGGCACCTTAGCTTGCAATTTACACTGAAGCAATAAGATGTATCTACTCCACTTAGCATATTGAGCACCAAAATGTGGTTTAAATCAGAAATCAAATTTTGTTGAACAACCTGAAAATTATAATAAAGTTCTATCATAAATTAGAGCATACGCGATGATTTACGTGGAACAATTGATCAATAAGTTGCTTCAAGGATTGAGGCTAACTCAAGTACAAATTCAGAAAAGAAAGGAACAACTAGGAGCCCATGTAGCAGATCTGATTATGGATCTAAAGAATAAAAAGAAGAATATGATCATAAAAATGACAACAGCAAGCTGCTTAACATATAGCAAAGTTCAAGTTACCTGATTATTAACAAGGTTCAAGCAGGCTAAAAAATTGAATTAATGGATAAGCAATAAAAATTAAGGAATAATATGAAAAACATATAGCCAAGAATCAATTAAACAGACAAAAGATTTCTTGAAAGAAAAATAAATTAATTTCTGCCTCGGTAAACCATTCAAGGTATCAGATTAGACGTGTTCTATAAATGTAGTAAAAAAATCATTTGATTATTTCTAGCTATATTATTGTTTGACATGTTTAATGATATGATAATACCCAACAGTCTCCAAAATTTTCACGAACATGGGAGATAAAGGGGAACCTGTTCTTCATCAACAATAAGAAGGCCAAGATTGTTGTAAACCACCCGATTGCCAAGAAGTGCATGAGTTCCAACAATTATGTCCAAATCCCCATTCTTGATTGATGAAAGATGCTCCTCTTTCTCTGACTTCTTCTGAAGAATAAATCAAATTTATTTTGAAGATATGAAGATGGAATAAAAAGCTGTTAGAATGATTTGCATTGAGTCAGTTATGCATTACATGCTCATGGTAACAACTCTAGGTACCTCTAAATATTAATGATAGCTGATAGCAAGTATTTCCTTACTACAACTGCAATGAGGAAACCATGATGCCCATATCAATAAAATCAAGGTCTCTTAAACACATTTCAGATTGGAGATACTGTCTTCTTTTTTTTCTTCATTTTCGGCATCATGACAGTCATCAACAATGATTGTTGCCACAATTTCAAGCTTCAGTTTTCCAATAGCATGCTGATTGAGACCAATAATAATTTAAAGGTGAGAGTCCTCTCCAACTTACCAAATATTGCTGAATTATTTGACTTCATCTTAATAACTTTATATTCTATATGAATATTATTAGGTCATAATGAGAAAAAATATTTTGCCCAAAGCTCCAAAATAACGAGAGAACTCCATTTTGAAATGGGCTTCTCCCATTTTTTTTATTTTTTACTCACTTGATGGGAAAAAAACATTTTCTATTTAAGAGCAACATATCACATCAATTAATCTAACTAACCTATATTTATGACTATTTAGACACATAATATATAAGATTAACTTTTACAAATTTTGTTTAATTATTCGTTAATAATTCACTATCATGTTATCATTATTATAGGTTAGCCAAAAGACTCGTAGCAATTACAATTTAAAAGATTGTTTTGTTTTTTAATCAAATAGATGCAATTTAATACTATAAACAAAATTAAATATACAACTTAATTTTAAAGATTTGTTGTATCAAAGCAATGAATAAAGCAAAGTCAAATTATTTTAATCATAAAATAATTTATCAATTCTATTCTTTTAAATTAATTATACATTATCACCATTTACATTATAATGAAAATAAAGCCAAATAAAATGAGAGAAAAATACATAAATTGTTCAAATTATTATATGACATGAGTTAATTGTCCCTGCATTGTATGAGGTTATCTTAAGTAACACAATAAGGAAGTTATTTTTGGGTACATGTGACTAATATATGAGATTAAGGACCCCGTGATAACACATTAGAGCGATGCTTATATTTAAAAAAGGATACATCCTAGGTATTGTGTGCTTAGGATTGTGGTAAGCATACCACAAGCAAAAAAATTTAAGTGTTAATAGTCAATAAGAGTGTATATATACACACACACAAAAAGAGAAAAGCTAATAGTCGGCAAGTCACATTTAGGAGCTAGAAAGGAAAGTGTATATATACACTAAAACACACTAAGAGAATAGCTAATAGTTGATAACTCACATTTAGAATCTAGAAAGATGGTCTAGAGAACAAAGTAAGTAACCAGAAATAACATTCAATCAAACATGTTCATTCGAATCTATCATACCTGAAACCTACATAACAGGCCAATGCTGATATGAGGATAGCTACAGAAGCGCTCCGAAATGACATCAAAGTGTTGTTTGGCGAGAACAATAGTTGGCGCCAAAACCATTGCTTGTTTCCCAGCAGAAACAACAATAAAGATGGCACGCAGGGCAACTTCAGTTTTACCAAAACCGACATCTCCACAAATAAGCCTGTCCATTGGAGTTTCTCTTTCTGTCAAGTCTTTCTCAACATCAATAAAGGCCTGTCAAGGCAACCTACATAAATCAATTCTGCCCTCTATCAAAGTAAATAAGTTATCAATCTAATAGTGAAAAATATATTAGGCTAAAAAACAACTAAGTTTAAGTTTAACCATAGAATTATAAACGGAGAATACTTCATTATTAACAAATATATTAATAGTAACCAAAACTCATTGAAATCACTAAATTTGGAAAAAATTAGTCTACGGTGCCCAATTTTATATATTCACAAAACAGCTTAAATAATTAAGAAAACCTATGGAAACAAGTGTACGGAAAATCATAAACCACAAAGTTATTTAATTCATGATAGTATCGACTATCGAGAGAAGGTGATGCGATACGTTTCAAAAAAAATCATTCGCAATAAGCAGGAAAATGGAAATGCTTGATAGAAAACAAAAGAACCGAAGGACAATATGTGACCCATGACGAAATAAGGTTTGAGTAAAGGAACAATACTAACTGAAAGAAGGATATTCTTTAAGATAGAAAAAATTTGGTCCAGAACAGTAGTTTAAAGTGTATGTGTTTAATATGTCAACATATTAAATACCTAGGATGGTATTACACCTCATCTGTACATAAGTTAAAAAACACCAAGATCTTTCTGTCCTCATTTTCAAGAAATGCAAATAAGTCAAAAAAATTTGCAAGGAATAGAAGAAAGCCTGTAATATCTCATTAAAAACCTGATCATTAGCTAAAACGTCATCCTCATATCTAAGGACATGGATTTAGAAACCCCATGCAAAACAAAGTCTTGCCATCAAAAACAGAAATAACTAAACTAAGACTTCGGCATTTGAATGATGTCCATTAGATAGGAAAATGTAGTATCTATACACCAACAGTTTCATCAAAGTAGAAAATTTCAGATAATTCATTCACAGAAGCTTCATTCTTATCTCAGCTGTTTTGAATGCTCTCCATTGCCATTAAAAACTAACTAGCGTAAGAAAAACTAACTATAAAATCTTTTAACCATCATATAGTAGCAAATGTATAATGTTATAAGCAGAAGCACGCAATTCATAGCCTGCTATTGACGTATTGTCATGGTTGTCACCATATATTTAGAATTAAGCCTCCTGGGCAAGGATTGAAAAGTCAAGAAAAGTGAATTTCAGATATTTTAAAAGTATTAACATGGTATTGGCCTTTCTCATATGCGTATATCTAAAAATTAAACAGCAGAGATGTAATAAGTTTTTCACGCTTAGGACAGGACAAAGAGAACAACCAAAAAGAACTAGAGACCAACCAATAAAAGAGCATCAAAGAAGATTTTCTTAGATGCAATACCTGTTTCTGATCTTGTGTGGGATCATAAGGAAACTGAGATACAAATTCAGCCATGGCAGGAGTTCTTCGATATGAGAGCCTCTTCTGCTTCAACCTGTGTAGATAGAGTTCCATCAAGTCAACAACCATTTTCTGCACAGCAACCTTTCCCTTTACCCTTCTTCTCTCCCATGCACTAGTGTCATTCAATTTGCTCAATGCCCGTGGTCTTCTGGTTTCACTTGGACTACAGCAAGCACAATTGTATAAATATTAAGTACCTCGTAAAAAAGAAATTTCAGCTTGATAAGCAAACCTCCCACGTTTCTATCATTATGATATTAATAAACTTATTTCAATAATCAGCCAGGTGGATGAACTAATTTATACTGAATATGGTTCACCGAAATTGGAAGCTGGATGAGCTAAATTAACTCATTTTTAAATATATGATTAGTATTATTCAAATTATCATGCATTGCAGTACTGGAATAAGCCATTTACAATGATGTTAGACAAGGAGTTTCATTCATTATTTAAATATGCATAGAATAAACATATTTCTTAAAACAAAGAAAAGTGTAGTCAGATTTTTTTTTAACTCAAAGTAACCGAGTTACTTTACAACGTTGACAAGTTTTGACACTATGTTATCTGCATTTCTCATTAAAAAAAAATACATTCCAAATAGAGTAAGAAGATGTTATAGAACTGTGTACATATCACCACTTCTGTACTTACATGGTATCTTTTATAAAAAGAAACAGTTACAACAATCTTCTGAAGTGGAAGAACAATCATTTTATTATAAAATAATAATAGTCCTATAGCACTTCATTAAATCATAGAATTCCGTTATGGTGATTTAGCAATGTCCACCATGATACTGATGTAGGTTCTGTTCTTGTTTTATTAAGGTAAAACACTATCACCATAAAGCTATCCTGAACATGACTATTGTAGTCAAAGCCTTGCCAATCAACAAGGGCCAAAAACCTAAAAGATATGCAAAAATGTAAATTCCCCTCCTAGAATTTGAAACCCTTCAAGAAAATAAAATTAAATCCTTAATCATTGAGACGCCTTTGGTGCAACGGTTGGAATTTCAATAGAAATTTCAAAGTTAAGCATGCTCATATAAGACCAATTCTAGGATTGACGAAAATTTAAGATAAGTGGCATCCTGTGAAGTTACACTAAACTGGTGAAACATGAGGTCGTTAGGCCAAGCAGACAATATCACAATAGTAAAAAGTTATGGCCGTCACAGATGACATCAAAGCAATTCACAAGCTGAAACTAAGTGGAGGAGACTACAAAACCCCTTAAGAAAATAAAGTTAAATTCTTAATTATTGAGGAGTTTTGGTATAACGGTAGGAATTTTAGTAGAAATTCTAAAATTAAGAATGCTCGCATAAGAGCACTCATGGGATGCTTTATCTACTGGGAAGTTACACTAAGAGGACAATATCTTAAAGCCATTAGGTCAAAGCAAACAATATCTTGATGCTTAATAGTTTGAGTTGTTACATAGAACACCTTCATTACACCTTCATTACATGAACATGTTATATTCAATCCTGCAAATGAACATAAAACAAGTGCGAAATAAAATTCTGACAATCAAAGTAGCTCACAGATTATAGCGGTAAAGCATCCTGGCCGCCTGCTTGACAGGAAGCTTTGCCATCCCATCCGCATACTCGATGAAGACATACTCCGTGGGATCCGAGGAACTCTTGGACACATCATACTTGATCGCTACAAATCTCCCAATACCCACCTTCTTATGCACAACATAATCTCCCGATTCAAGCGTGTAAGGATCCACCTTATAGCCAATCCCACCCTTGTCCTTGTTGTCTCCCTTGAGCTTCTGAAGCCCAAGTTGCTGCTGCTGCTTCACTGTATTGATATACTTCTCCACCTCGGTGGAGTTTACTGCTTTATTCCCTGCCCTCAAACCCTGTCTCTTACCGAGTTCTTTTCGTATTCTCTCGTTTAATATGGAGATGTCGTCAAGATCGGAAGACGAGTTACCCTTCTCCTTCCAAGGTGCCACCGCAGGGCCACGGGACGCCTCCGTGTAGACGGCGTTCGTGCGGACTGAGAACTTCCAGTCCCTGCATGGGCATTTCGAAGGAGATGGCTTCGGAGGACCAAGCTGAACCAGGAAGTCCGAGAAAAAAAACCGAAATGATAAATCACGATGCTTGCTTTGCAAGTTTGGAAGCGGAAATGCTCCGGCCGAGGCCATTGCTGCAACCCAGTTTGGGTCTATCGAGAACTGAAATTCGTCATGCGAGATTGGGATGAGTGAGGGTTTTGGGAGGGTTTCGGTGTGGATTTGAGGGAGATGGTTTTTGTGGACAGAATTAGGAAACTGAGCCCGACGAGATTATTTGTACCGTTGGCTAACGGGTCTCCACTAAATTATTTTTCTTAGGGGCTGTTTGATATTGGATTTGATTTAATGTAGTAGGATTCGATTCTATAAATCTGGATTTAGTAAATATTGAGACCGTTAAATTCTGAAAATTATTTGATATAAAAATGTTAAAGCTTTTTAAATTTTGAGAAACTGTTTGAATGTTTGGAAACAGATTTTAGGGTTTAAAATTGTTAGAGATTTAAATCTAAAGTAATAATACTGAATTACTTTCACAACTTATCTAAAATTCAAAAAATATGAAATTACTTAAAAATGTATTTAATTAATAATTTTATTACTAATTCTAATACTAATTATCAAATAATGTAATTAAGTAATTCATTAATCACTTAAATATTCTACAATTAAGTATTAATTTAATTATTACTTATAATGTTAATTATATAATTAATTATTCTATTTCAATTTATAAACCCTAAGCTAATTATATTCATTTTTAATTACAAATTATATAACTAATTATTTATTTAAGCTTAATTAAATTACTTAATTAGACTACTAACTATACTACTAATTATTAATATTGTAGAGGCCTTTAAATGTTTGCTAATTATACTATAATTATGTTAAATAAGATTAATTACTAATTTAGATGGAGGCTCTCTAAGTTTGCTTTATTAATCTTCTCCATTTATCCATTGCTATTACTTTTCCTCGTCGTCAGTTATTTGTTGTTGCTTCGACCTCGCCTACTTAGCGTGAAATAGTGTTGAAAGAGTCACTATAGAAGTTTTGATGCCTCCTCCTCCGACGTCGGATCGAAAGACATGATGAGAGAGCACTCACTGTGAAGGTAATCATCTTTCTCCACGACAAGGACGCCGCACGAGTTGTAAATCCCGTAGTCAGTAAATCCCTCGAATCGCCAAAGAATGGGATTCGGATTTACACAGATTTATGTCGTAAATCCAGGATTTACGTCGTCGCGGGATTTAGGTTAAATCTTGCTTAAATCTCTTGCCAAATCCGATACCAAGCAGCCCATTAATGTTATGCAAAATTTGGCACGCATAAAATTAAAATAGGTTGACTATAAACTCAAGCATAAGTAGCATGCACTTAGTAAGAGTCTTTTACTTCCCTAAAAAATAAATCTGCAAATTTTTACGAACTCCTACTTTTGATTATAGAATTTGGGGATAACAAAAGTGATTGTTAGCAGTGGTCGTTGGTGGTGAAAATGGCTGGCAGTCATGATAGCCAGAAAATTCTAGAAAGCTTTTTAGTCTTTTTAGTTTTTGGGTCTCTCTCCTTCATGTAAAGAACGATGTTTTATTTATAAGTTTTATTATGGCATTTTGGTAATTTGAATCAGAATCCAAAATGCTCTAAGTTCGTATCTATTCCCTTGATCATGAAGTATTTTGTTAGCATTTAAGTGCCTTCATGATGTCAAAATCAAATGATATTAGGCTCGTTGAATTCTCGAGTTGACAATAACCATGTCAATTTTAGAGTTCAAATAATCAAATTTTAATTACCAAAATTTTCAATTCAAAGATTGCCATGGAATTAGTTGAGATCATATAAATTTTATGGAGTCATATCACAAATAAAGTAGGAATGAATAATAATAGCTCGATGGGTGTAAAACCTAGTGAATTTGTGCACAGTCGTTGTTGCGACCCAATCAATATGATAGGTCGTATCGTGTCGGATCGAGGCATGAAGTATAGGCTGGCCTCAAGATCCAATCGGAGAAATGTCGAGGAGCTGAAACATTCAAATTTTGCACACAATGCAGAGCATATTGAATTTCATAAATATCTTTTTTATATGTAATCAAAAAATACAAGTATAATCTAAGGTCAATCTACAACACAACTTAGCAATAGAAAATCACAACAAAAATAAAGCCTAGCCTGTCAAAAAATAAAATAAAATGCATATCTACAGTACCAATCAGAGCTTGATATAAAACTATTCAGCTCGTTTATTATTCTTTTTCTAATCTTAAAATATAATCAAAAGTGGGAGTGCGCTAATATAGCTCAATAGGCCGCGAAAACCTAAAATAAAAATTAATAACTCAAACCAAAAGGTATAAAATACTTAAATAATAAACTGAAGTACTGTGTGAAAAACTAAACCTAAAGGAGGCGCTGATTCTAAATTGAGCAAGCATTTTACAAGCTACTGGAACTGATTCAAATATAAATTTTTGAATAAATACAAGTTGCTGTTTTTCAAAATCACTCTATGCAAAATCTCAAATAAAAACTCAAAATAATCAGAAGAATCACTAATTCACTCAACCAAAATATTAAAAGTTGCACATATGAAATTTATCGGAATTCGATAAAATCATATTTTTGTAAAACAAAATTATAATTTTAATCAGAAAAAAAAATCAAATTATTAAAAATTAATATGGGTAAAATATAACCTATCTCAACCCATGTAACTTTTTGAGCTAGACTGACAGTTGAAAAAGACTCAAACTAGTCCAAAATGAACTTTCTCTCACTAGAAATATATTCATATTATCTCTCTCTAATATGTTGCCTAAGTGGATAAAATTGGTTTAATTAATGAAAAATGATATTTATATAAAGAATACAAGCCTGGTGTCGTTAGTGCCCAAACTTAATAGCGCTATGCCTCTCCCACTAGGAGCTTCTAGTGTTTAAGCAACAAAACCAAGTGCCATTGCATTAGCACAACTTTTCAAATTTCAAAGGACATGGTGCCAAGGCGCCGCCTTCCCCAACACCACGATGCTCCACGGGAAAACCCAAATTCACATAGCATGCAAACAAACCTCTATGACCCGCTTCAAAATCCATGTTTACTTTCGCAGGCATACAAATTATTTCTAGACATATGGAGAAGAGTTCAAATTAAGACTTTTATATCTTTTATTTTTTTTCCTACGTAAATTTTTTGAGTATACGATTTGATTGAGTTTTTCTCGCAATAGTAATAGTTATATAGTCTTAAAATATTCATGTGAGTATTCCTCTAAAGTTCGAAACCGATCTGTTATTATTTAGTGAGAATTATATTTGATTATAAATCATAGCCATTAATTTCTTCCTCCATTTTTTGTTATTTATAATCCATGTATTAAAATTTATTGAGGCAACTTTTATCTTTTTTTTTTATATAAATTTTTAAAAGCCAAATTGCTAGTTACATTTTATAATATAATACTCTAAAAGTATTAAAAAATATATATACAAAGGCACGGGAAAAAATGATATATTTTTTCATCAAATTAAATCATACTATTTACGATTTTTTCTACCACTAAACAACAAAAAATCATCACAAAAAAAAAAATCCGAACGGTCTGCAAAATAAAGCATAAACAAAAATTACAAACGAAATCTCAATTAGTTAAAATTATGTTCAATATAAGCATGCAAATGCAAACTTATGTTGGCTTAACTAACAAATTGCAATTAAAATTAAAATATATGCAATTAAATTACAATTAATTTACTAAATTACAAAGTTTAAATTTACATTACTCTCAAAATTCACAAAATATTTAACACTGTTTAGGCTTTGAGCTTTTCCTTAAGTTTACCACTTAATTGTTTGTCACGACAAAAGCAACCAAAATAATCTATATGGTTTTATTCATTATCATATTATCAATCCCTTTTTCATCATCTTTTAATTAGCTATATGAATCCTCATCCATTCATTATTGTTAAATACTAAATAAATAGCTACCTCTAATTTTTGGCATAACTTTTAAACATGTTATAAATTTTTCTGGCCATAAAAAACACAATTTTTTTTTATGAAAATTAATTTATTCCTAATATAACTTTATTAATTGCTAGCCAAACACCTCACATCTTTAAAGACCGAGTCCAGCGGTCATCTCATGGCGATCCAAAATAGGCCTACCAAACTCTCCCCTCCTACAACTCCCTCTTCTACCTAGTCACCTCTATAAATGTTATCATATGTTCCCATTCGACATAATCAGAAATAGAGGCAATAAAACCAGTCATGTCTTCCAAAATCCTTATGAGTTGTCGTCGTCTTTCCACCTTTCGTCAACAGAGCCATCGGAGCTCGATAAATAATGCTGCGGCGATGGCAGGAGAGGCTAAGTCAAAGGTGTCGAAGAATGTAGACATGGTGGACGTGTGCATTCCGTTGGGGGTTGCGTTGACTGCATTGGTATTTGGGGCTTATACGGCGACGGGCCAGCTCTCGAACTCGCCGTCAGTGAGGGTGAACAAGAAGATGCGAGGCACGATGCCAGAGATCGAACAACCCGACCATGTGGCAGACGAGGGAAACCGATATGTCAATCGTTCCTTCTTCCGGAAGAAGGCCCACTTGTAGGATTTTGATTCTTTCCGTTCTAGCATCTCTGACCCGACTCAGCCGAATAATGCCTTCAAGATGTATGAATTTAAATTTTGATATAAATTGAATCGAAATTCGAGCAGATAATTGCCAATGGATTTTGAGTAAATTATCATTGCACAAATTTTGACGTAGATTTATATGAGATGATTTATATTTCCTAACAAATAGAACAATCTTTGAGTTTAGGCCATTTTTTAATGAAATAAATTACTTGATAACATTCTAGTTAAATTTTGATCTGAACAGGACCAAAGCATTTGGATTTATTTTTAGATGAGTATAATGTACGTAGAATTTATATTATACTAATACTAAAATAAATCTAATAACTTTAAGCCTAATGAAAATCATGCACAAATTATATTAAGGCAGGTTGAAAAAAATTTTAATTTACTTTTAGATTATTTTAATATAATCTCTTTATACTAATCTTAAAATATATATAATGAATTTCTAATTATTTATAATACATTTTGTTTTAGGAAAGTCATTGCATATATATTTTTAGTGAATTTCATCATGACTAAAAATTAAATTAGTTAATAAATTAATTAGGATATCCTAATTTTTTTTTCTATTTTTATTTATCGACGTTGT